TCCCATCAAATGTTCTTCTGGGAAGAAATTAGAAACCCAACTTATTTTTTATCCTATTCTGTTATCTTTGTATCGCGGGTACTTTATATTCTTGATAAGTCAGTTTTGAGATAGAAACCATATTTGTCGCATTTATAATGTTAAAGTTAATGTCGTACTATTTAGAATTACATATGTAATGTCAAAGATAATAAAAGATAAATGTTCTGTATAAATTTGGTATTAAATTATCACAATAACATGCACACACACAGAGCAATGACCGGTAGTGTGTAATAAAATAATAAATAGATGTGTGCGTGTGTGTGTGTGTGTGTGTGTGTGTGTGTGTGTGTGTGTATGTGCTACTATAATTAAGAATATATAACAATTTTTTTAATATTAATTTAAAGAAATCTGATTTTAATATAAATTCATATTTTATATCAATATTGTAGTATATTAAAATTATTATAGATTATTTCTGTTATTTTATTCTAAAAAATATTTTGTAAAAACTTTAGTTTTTATTTAATTTAAAGTCTAGTTTACGTTTTATTAAAACTTTGATTTAATTATCAAATAAACTGATGACTTTGATTTAATTATATTAAGATAAGATTACAAATAAATGTTAAAAGAACAAATAAAAAATGAGAAACTTTCGATCTCTCTCGACATTTTTCTACATAAACTCGCAGAGTTAAATACAGAATTTATCATTTATTGATTGCAAATCTCATTTTGTACATATTTGTGTGTATTTATACATATATTGTTTTATGCATCCTATGATATTCACCGATCTCTTTCGATCCTTTCATGAATTGCACGTTTAGGCAGAATGAAGCGTCCGCTCACATAATGCCTCTATTGTAGTCTGTGCGTCTAAAGCTTGGATTTGCAAATAAACACGTCTCACCACATGTGGGTGTATTGAAGTTTCCAAATTTATCATTAATCATAACAGTTAAAAGACAATATATAGTTTCAATTAGGATCTAATGTCATTACCATCTGTTGCTATTTCTATTGAGACAAAAGCACCCTTTAATTTAGCTACTAATTGCAGCAAAGTATTGTAACGTAGTCAAGAATTTACATTAAATAAAATTTCAGGCATCGACAGTTCTATAAACAAATTATAAAATAAATATTATATAATAATCTTCTTTGTACATTGAATCTCTGAAATGCAACTGAAAATGCAGCTTATCGCATTCATATAAATTTATATAAATCTTTTTTTCTTACAAATTTTAATTCAAAGCTCATCTATTAAGACGTTGATGAATCACATAAAAAGCAACTAAGAGTAACGTTTTTTTTTAATTTTTTAAGAATAATTTCGTACTCGTCGAGAGAAAGGGTCATTAAGATTAATAATTAGTAAACAAACAATTTGATCGAGTCAAGTACTTAAAAATTAATAAGTTATGCGGATGAGAGAGGTTTTGCATTATATCATAATTACTGAATGTAAAGCGTAAACTAAAATAATTCTCCGCGAGCTTTACTACGCGATACTCGTGCTATCGAGGGTCAGCTGGCGGAGCCAATAGTGGTTTCTATGTCGTGTATATGGCAAAGAGCAGAGGTCAGTAATAATGTGGCGTAAATGCGAAAATCACGATGTCTCGGAGGTATAATTGATTGTGGTGGATGGTATCGAAAGCAGCATTAATCCTCGATAAATTGCAAATGTGATCCGCAGGATCCTTTGAAAAGTAACAGCCCTTCTCTCGAGATGATCAGACGAGATGGTCAAACGCAGTCGCGTCGCTTTCGCGATGAAGGAAAAATCTCTCCCTCCTTGTATTTCTGTCACAAAACTGGCGACGAACTTCACGTTAACTCGTTGTATCCCACGTTATATTTTACAGCGGTTAACGTCGCCGGCGTCGAGTACGGTGATCGATCTCGCCGAGAAACTGCCGATCTCATATAAATGCGGTAAATCTCGTAATGAAGATACTTCGACGCGGGCATGGAATACGGGGCGATAATAGGTACACATAGCGAGACTCGTTGTCGGGGAGCGCTGACCGCAGAGATAACGCTTTGACCCGTTACAAACTCCAAGAGTACTAAATGAATGCCTTCACTGTCTCTATCTTCCTGTGCCCAATCCAAATATGCAGCCCTTTTTCTCTTCCCTGGTTGCCCTTTACAAGCCGTTTGCAATGATCCTACGAATCTGCGACGGCGATCTCTTTGCTTCCCGGCAGAATCGACGCCGACGCGGTGATGGCAACGTTCCATCCGCTACCAAACTACCATGCTACGTAGGAATCTTGTAAATTTACATTTCATTTTACATCCTTCATCTTTTTTTATCTGAATGTAAGCCATTTAAAAGCTGGAAGACCACGCGAAATGGAAGATTTCGATAAATTGAATTATTATATTCAGAAACGAAATTATACACAAGCTCGTTTTCTTACACAAAACGATTATATGAAATACTTTTATTAATAACTTATTACATGTTTCTTTGACGTTGACATTTTTTTATTAACGATGATTCACACATCAATACGCACGATTTTAAAAGTTTTTAATGAATATCACCCTAGATTACAGTTCACTATGTTGACGGAAGATGATCGACTTGATTTTCTTGATGTTACCTTATTTAAGAATAATATTTAATACATGATTAATACTATAAGTCCATTTTTTCCTTTGTGATAATAAAGTACAATAATAGAGATAGTATAGAATCTTCTCTTATCGCATCCTATGTTTCTCAAGAAAAATTTTGAATTAATCATTAACATTTTTCTCAGCAATAGTTATACCCTTTAGAATTAATTTTCACTATTATTAAAAAAAAACTTTACACTAAATTCCAATAATTTGACAGAATAACACCATTATGAATAACAATAAACAAGATAGATACAAGAATTTAGATACCGTTCTTACCATTTCTGAGATCTCAGAAAAATTTTAAAATTTTTTAAAAATTCTACAATATACCGGCCTTAATAAATTGAATATTTTTATTTTAGAATGCAGAAAGATAGGATGCTCACTCTCTCGCATTTAAATGTGTTTAAGGAATCAACTATAGAGGCTTCCTACAATAAGTTTTAAATCTGTAAGTCATAAGAAATTGATCAATCAGAATCGGTTATTCTTCTCATATTTGACTGTGATTGGTAAATTTCTTACGGTCAATTTCTTAAGATTTAAGATTTAAAGCTTAGGTAATGGCTTATTATTGTAGAAAGCCTCTAACGATTGCAATATCTCTGTATGGGCCAAACAAGTCGCCTATTAAAAATAGAATAAATGAGCATCAAAATTACATAAATAGAAATAAATATATAAAATGAGGCTTGAAAGAGTCTATCAGTGAAAAATATAAAAAAGCTCATCAGAGTCTGTATCAACTGTTCGAATACACAGAAAACTCTTTATTCTCATGTGAATGTAACAAAACGAATCAAATCAACATTTCAACCCTTCAATTTGGATCCTTATCAATATAAAATATAAATCTAAATTATATGACTAATGCAAATTGCCAAGATGATTATTCCCGACAATTTAGCTCGTTCTTTCTTATTCAAATGCCAAAGCTTTGTAATGAATAACCAAATGATTATCAAAAATATTTACTTATACAATAATGATATAAAAACTTATTTATTAAAGTAAAATAGGAGTCATATACATTGCGTCAATAAGTAGAATTACATCGCTCATCAGATTGTCAGATTTGCTATGTAGTCATTCAAAGGAAAAACGAAAAACAAAAAATTAGAGAATTATTAAAATCATTTATCTGAATTTTATTAACTTGTAAGCATTTTTCGCGACTTGACATAAAGGTCTTGTGGTGTCGACAGTCAGAGATGAAATGAGAGTCAAAATAATAAAGTCATGTAGTTATTAAAATAAAAATAAAAATAAGGACAAAGGGGGGAAAATAATTTAAAAACAAAATTTTTTTATCTTTTCCGATAAAAAAAATATAAAGGGGATTGTACAAAATCTGTAATTAATTTTATCTTTATTATTGTCCGTTGTCTTGTCTTTAGGTGTATTACGCTAGTCATTCCATTGTTTAAATTTTTTTACAACCTATTTTTGATTTCTGAGAATATGAGGATATTCAATTTGATATCCATTTTGCATAAAGGGCTTCAACTTAATTAGAAAAGGAAATTCTCTTATTCATAATTGGTATCACCTACTTTTTCTGGTCATTACTTAAATTATTTTTCTAGACATCCTTTATGCCAAAAGGAACAATTGTTGGTTTAATTAATGGCGTTCTTTCTTTGTCCTATCCTATTTATTATCAAGAGAATTTCGAATTAATAATTAAAATTCTTTTAAACAATGAATATCCATTGAAATTCATATCTTCATTTCTCAGAAATCAAAAATAGATTGTCAAAACAATTTAAACAATGGAATGATTAGTGTAACACTTATTTAAAAATAAGGGACAATAATGAAGATAAAATTAATCACAGATTTTTTACAATCCTTGTCTTTTTTATCAAAAAAATTTTTTAAAAATGACTCCTTAATACACATAGCATATAAGGGATTAATAATCTTAGGGGGTTCATCAAGGATCATAAAGACGTTCGTCCCAAGCTATCTCATACAGATATTTTATATAAAATTGATTGTCGAGATTGTGAAGCATCATGTGGGCCAAACAGATAGATGTTTGAAGACACGCATAAATGAATATAGAAATCACATAAATTGGAACATTACACAGCATTCCGTAATAACAGAACACATAATTAGTCAGCATGATTTTGATTGGAAAAATGTCAAGATGGAAAGGGTGCTTAATAAAAGACTGATTTCGGAAATGATCTATATAAAGCAATAGAAACAGAGTTCGAATTTACAGAATGATACGTATTCTTTAGACACCAACTATATATGAATTTGTTTACGCAATTGTGACGTTGTTTTTCCCTCTTTGTTTTTATTTCAATAACTACATGACTTTATTATTTTGACTCTCATTTCATCTCTGACTGTCAACATCGCAAGACCTTTACGTCGAGTTGCGAGAAACTTACATGTAAGTTAATAAAATTAAAATTCAGATAAATAACTTTAATAATTCTCTAATTTTTTGTTTTTCGTTTTTCCTTTGAATAACTACATAGCAAATCTCTCAATGAACGGTGTGATTCTATTTATTGACATAAGTAGGGGATACCTGGAGACCAAGGTTAATATCGAATCATCATCTTGGTAATTTGCGTTACTCATGTAATTTAGATTTATATTTTATATTAATAAGGATCCAAAGAAGGGTCGAAACATTTATTTGATTCGTTTTGTTACATTCACACGAGAATAAAGAGTTTGTGCATCCGAATAGTTAATAGGGCTCTGTGTGTTGTGATGAGCTTTTTTATATTTTTTTTACTGATAAATAGAAATACCACCCAGCACTCTGTAATTACAAAACACAGAATTAATTTGGCATATGATTTTGATACAACATCAAGATATAATATTAGATGAGGAAAAAACATTAAGTAATAAGAGACTGATTTCCAAAGTGATATATCCGATGAAAATAAAAGCAGGATTTCAAAAAAATAATACAGATTTTGTTTAGATTATGTATTGATGTTGTATATTGATCTTTTCACAGAATCTTAATTCTTCTATTTATTTATTAATCTTTATTTATTTATTAATCTATTTATATAAATACGTTTATTCTCTTGACTGTTTTTTCATAAGCTCGTAACATCTCACTCGTCTTATTCTATGTTTTGTCTAATATAACATTATTCTGCTTTTATTTTACACTTATACATTTTATTATGACTTTATTATTTATCTAAGTTTTAATTAATTTATATTATTAACATTGATTAATAATGAACTTATTTTGCAAACTATAACTTATTTTAGCTTTTTGGCTCATGATTCAAATATTTACTCAAATATATTGAAGACACTTGTTCACGATTCAAATATTCAATCAAATATTGAAGATGTTTGATTATTGATATTTATACTTTTGGATAATAGCCTCACAATGTTTTGCAAATTTGATGTGCATCTCAATTTTTTTATTCTACTGTAAACAATTTTGATTTGGATTTAATTCGCTGTAAGTAGAATATTGTACAGTACTAAAGATGACCCAAAACTAGGGTCGAAATGTCTATTTAATTTGTTTAATTAATATAATGTATATATAATGTAAATAACCTGTGTCGGTTCACATTAGCTTATTTTTGATAAATGATGATAAATTAAAAGCTCTTATGAATAAAAATTTAAAGAAATAAATTACACAGGTAGGAACTTATGTACCGACTTGGTTATTTATGTTATTATACAAATGATAAATTAATAAACAAGGTCACACAATAAAACAAACATTTTGACTTTTAATAATGTTTATTTTCAGTATTATAATCGACATTATAATCGGTGTATTACAAATCAAGATTGAGAATTATTTTTACAATATTAAAAATCCACAAATTACTAAATAAAACGTACGGATACTATACAATTATCAGAATGCCAAAACATGGTCTTAACACTCATGATAAATAATGATAGTTTACATTGTTGATAAAAATTAAGTCTTTATACATATTATATATGTATTAGACAAAAATGGGTGAGAATTTTCTTTAGAACTATTGTTGAAAATTACATTATTAAAATCCAATAACCATTCCAATACGGTTAAAATTAATATGTGTATAGAAATGAAAGAAAATTTTCAAACGAAAATACTTGTAAGAGTATTAAGGAAAAAATAACTTTAAATTAATTTTAAATTTTAAATTTTTTGCACGAAAAAAGTAATCCTACTGAAAAAAAATCACGTCATAAAGTTAACAATATCATGTAATTAAAACAAGTAAATCAAATAACGGATTGTTCCAAATCAATTTGTAATTTTTTAAAATGGCGTAATTTAAAAAAATCACATGATATTAGAAATAATTTAATGTTTCATATGATTTTATAGTTATCGAATTTTATACAATTAAGTGATAAAAATAGAAGAAGAAAAAAACATATTATGTGACTTCTTAAATTACGTAATTTTAAAAAATCACGTACTGATTTGGAATAATTCGTAATTTACATATTTTAATTACATGATTTCGTTATATAACTTTATGACGTAATTTTTACAATAGGAAAAAATAATAAAGCTTGTTAAATTTTTTTGCTAATAAATAAATAAATGCAAGCTTTTTTTTAAAAAAGAGAATATTAACTTTAGGCTTCCAAAAATATTTATTAAGCCATCACTGAAGGGGAGCACAAGATATAGAGAAAAATGATTTTATTGCAGATCACTGAGCGCGTCTACATCAGCCAGATGTAGTGCAATTGTTCTCAAATTTTTCAATTTTCAAAATTTGTAGATTTTTGTACTATTTTCTAAAAAATTGTACTCGTGAAAACTTGTTTTCATGAAATATTACTTTTATTATTTTCTTGATTTTAAAAAATTGTAATTTATTTTATTATTGCATAGATTTTTCTACAAAAAAATATAAATATTTTGCGAATATATAAAAAAATTTACAAGAAAATAAAAATTTCTATTTAATACAAAATTGCTATTTTTGAAAATTTCTGTAATTATTCATTGAAATTCTTTTTGCTAGGAATCAAAGCATGCAAGGAGTATCCGTGGATTTGTGGAAAGGAAGCGGCCTGCCGTAGCTTCGCGGACAACACATCGAAATGTGTGTGTCCTCATGACTTATCGCCGCCGACATTAGATTTAAAATGTCCAAATCGTCTAATCGGTAAAGCTACTCTCCTTTTTCACAAAAGTTTTACTACAAAAGATGAGCAATTTTAAATATCAAAATAAATGTTAAAAGAAATAGTTTGCCACAATGATTTACTTGACAATTGAAAGATTAAAAGGGCATGATTAATGTTCAATTTCTTTTCTAAATAAGTGTAATTTTATCCATGAAATTTGAAATTTGAACTACATTGTAATCTGAGAGATATCTCATGAATAAAGTTATCTAGAGATGAAGAAATTAGAGGTGACAATGAATACAAACCGATTCTAAAATTGACTCCAAAAATTATAAATAAACATAAAACCGTATTATAAAATAATAAGATATTAAGATTAATGTGATGTAATGTAATATGATAATATTTTAGTTCCTTTAACGCCTCGTCCTATATATAACATAATACTTCCAAGCGGCAACAACAACACAAATAGCACAAATGTACTTCCGGAAGCTGAACAGGTATATTATATCCACTAAAATTGAAGTTTTATGTATATGTAAATATCTGCAATAAACGTTACTATCTGTTTACTTAATATAATAAGTTATTCAAAATCAATGTGACAGGTAGTGGGATTGAAATACAAAGTACCTGAAATCATAGGAGTAGTTGTAGCTTTCATCGCGGTAATTGTGCTCTTATTAAGCATTGTATATGGCGTAAGAAGACGAAGTTACAACATCAAATCGCAAAGAAGTCCTTTAGATGTAAGTCCATAACTTTTCTTGAAATAATGCCATCCTAAGATGCATAAACAATGATACATATTCACACATTTCCACTATGTTTTTCGTGTGTTCTTCTAATCTGAATCTAAAATTTCCTTTTTCTAAATAATTTATAATTTATACTTCAACAGTAAATTTATTTCAAAGGCATTTTTCCACTGTTTCAATATTTACATTCTTTCATTAATTGTACATCCCACGGATATTTTTAATATTCCCGAATTTTTAATTATTCTTAATAATTATCTTGTTCGTCATATTTTATCAGGGAACTCCAATAAATCTGAAGAAAGACTTATTATTAGCGCATAAGTACACGTCTAATCCTCAATATTTTACCTGCACGCCTCCGGGGGTTCCGATAATACAACGTGAAAATCTTATATTTCTTCACGACATCGGCGAAGGGTGCTTTGGAAAGGTTTACAAAGGTAGAATTTTATGTATATAATGTATGTGGAGAGAAAATAAAATAAAAAAATTTATCAATTCTTTAAGTCAATTCTTCTAATCAATTTAATGAGATTAAGGAGTTATATTAGTTTCTCGTAGAACTGGCTTCATAAAGTTATCGCTAGATAATGTTAGATCTTTCATAACAAAAATTTACAGGCGAGTGGCACAATGGAGACACGAAGGAGATTGTCGCTATAAAAGTTCTGAAAGACACTGCCACGCCCGAAACAGAGCAGGACTTTATGCGTGAAGTAGACATCATGTCTACGTTCGGACATGCGAATATTTTGTCCTTAAAGGGCATGGTACTTCGAGATGCGACGAATAATCCGTGGATGGTATTCGAATATATGCCGTATGGTGACCTCACCGAAGTACTACGAGCAAATTCTTCGCAATTAAGATCGTTGAAACCTGAATTACAGCCATTAACGAAGGTATCGTAGTATCGAAGGTATCACAATACCTTTGTAATTAATTGAAGAAATATAATAGTAATTAGTTGAGGAAAATGACATCAGTGAATTTACGTGGAAGCTTCATCTTTAATCGCGAGTTGTCAGAGCAATTCTCATTATATCTTGAATTATGATTCACTATGCACGCGAATTGGAGTATGACATTTCAATGTTTTTTTTTTCTATCTGAAATGCACCATTGCGTGATATATTATTACAATTCTAGTCTGAAACTTTTTATCAGTAGAAATAATTTGACGATGACGTGTCATTATTTATAGGACTCGCTACACTGGATATCGATTCAAATTGCGGCCGGCATGACGTATCTGTCGGCGCAAAGATTCGTGCATCGTGATTTAGCATGTCGAAACTGTCTGGTGGGCTCAGGCTTAATAGTGAAAATCGCTGATTTCGGCATGTCACGAGATATTTACACTTGCGACTATTACAAGGTAAAATTTTTAATTCTCTATGAACCAGGTGGAAAATCAATATAGATCATATGTGAATATATATCTCATGTCCCATACTGTACTTCATCATAAATATACTATAATTTAGTATAGAGTTTAGATTGGTAAAAACGCACTCTAGTTACACGAAACCGGCAACATACGCGCGGTACTTTTTAAAAAGTTATAGAAATTCTTGCTGGGGTATGTCACACCCCACCTGGTTCGTGGAGGGTTAAAAATAAATTTGTAACAATAATATATCTTGATAACACGCGCTGCGTGTATGTGTGTGTGTGTGTCTAGAAGATTTCTTTATTTTTAATGTCTTTTAGATATCTTTTAAACGTATATAATATCTTTATGATGTTTTTATGATGTCTCTTGCACATGCATGCCAACTGGGCAAGAACTCTTCAGAAAATTTTAAGATTTTCTACATAGTTTTATATCTTCTCCATTTCTTTGACACAGATGTTATTAACGGATTATAATTTTTAATTATATAATTATATAATAAAGAGAGATATATACGAGGGGTATCCAGAAAATAAGTTCCGTTTGTATTATACGTTTAGTAAGGTCGATGTATGAGCGAGCTGGCAACACAGCATTGAAGAGGGGAAGCTACCGAATAGAATGAGCGGTGTTCGGCGTCAGTAGCTCGTGAAACACGGTCAGGAGAGGTTATCAAAATGGAGTCCTCCACTTCGCGTCCCGCCACCTCCATTCCGATTCCTTCTCGAGTTGTTTTGAGCGGCATCATTCAGTTTCTTTTTGCTCAAGATTTTAAATCCCTTTGGTGTGTCCCTTCTTCACGACAATGCTCGGCCGCACGTCGCTGCTTCAACAACTGCACTTTTGAATCAGTTTAGTTGGGATGTTTTGACCCACCCACCGTATAGCCCGGATCTAGCACCATCGGACTACCATCTTTTTACGAAACTGAAGGAGTCCTTGGCCGGAAAACGCTTCCAAAGCGACGAGGAAGTTCAGACAGCTGTAACTAACTGGACTAAAGAACTGGCGGGAAGTTTCTATGCAGAAGGGATTTCGAAGCTTGTTTCCAGATATACAAAATGTATTGAGATTGACGGGAATTATGTAGAAAAAGACTAGAAGTTGTCAAGTATTATCCATGTAAATTTTAGATTTTTTCAATAAAAACTTTATTTGTAAAAAAAAAACGGAACTTATTTTCT